AACCATCTCAATTGCTTAATCGGAGACATTCTTGTCTTCCCCTTTACCGGAGTCGACACAATGGGGGACTGATGACAGCTCACTCAGGGCGGGTCTAAGGTAAGACACCAGTCCAGACTGTGCTGAAACGCTACTGTCAATCAAACTATTGTGGGAGGGGCTTTGTCTGTGTGACATCACACAGAAAGGCATCTGAGATCAGCTCAATTTCAGAAAGGGGAAATGATTTTAGTAGATTAAAAAAAACCACTGGGTGGATTTTTATCATTATAGGGTGGTTGTGTACACACACCGCCAACACAGATTTCCGTTCAAACAATTTGTAAAAGTGCATGTAGCATCCTATGACCCCTTTAAGACAAGCCAGCATAAATTTGTCTTTTAAACTTTTCAATCTAGTTATTACAGTTTTTCTTACAGGCTTTTTTCTTACTGCTTACATTTTCAAAACTTTGCCTCTTTTTTCAAAACTTTACACACAAATCCAAGAATTGCACACACAAAATGCAAAATGCCTCACATCTCTTGCACAATGAAACACTGCATTCAAAATATCCCAAACATATCTCAAAAGCAAACATTTGCAAACACCTTTGCCATAATATTAATTTCTGTTAGATTTTTGTGTGTTACATAGAGAATTGTGTGTTGTGTTTTGCAAAAAGTGTTTTATGAAATTGAAAACTGAGTCAAAGGCCGAGAATTAGCGTATGGTTTTGCAGATTTGGTGTGTGCTTTGAGTGTCTGTTTTCAGAAATTGTGTGACAAGTAGGGCAGGACTTACGGGGCCGGGGCCCCTGGGCTTGAGGTTATGTTTGAGCCTCATACCTATACTACAAATGCCCTCAACTAGAACATTATTATGGAGTAACACAAAATACACAAAAATGAAAATATGCTTTCAGGTTCAAATACTGTATACAATTAATAGGCAACATGTCTAGCCTATTCAAAGTTTAGATGTAATATTAAATAGTCACTATAATACAATAAACAAGATTTGATCTCTCAGTTGAGAGATCAAAACCCTGAAATAACACTGAGCAGAAAAAAACAAAGAGATGTATTATGAAAATGTATTGTCATATCTGTGTCCTTTTATGTCAGATTCTTAAATGTAATAAATTCAATCTGAATAAAAAAGCATGTTGGCTATTAACAATCAAATGAAATCACTATAAACAAAATCCATAGATGGATTTTGCAAATTGTCTTTATGTAACATTATTTATTAAAATGCAAGGTTACTTGAGTCAGAAACAATGAAAACAATAACTTTTTCTGGAGGTGTTTGCGCGGCTTCATGTGCGCGCGCTTTGGATGTGACCGTGAGCGCCCAGAAAACTAGTTTGGATAGCGCAAGTACCAAATGGTTTAAAAAGACTTAAAAAGACGTTTCTCAGTGGAGAAATGGCTCACTCCATCTACCGGTCTCCGCTCTCTCCAGCCCCCTCTACCAGCGCATGCTCCAGCTGGATACCTTGAGCTCCCTCCATCAACGGGGGACTGGTCTGAGGGAGTTCGCCAGGGAATTTAGGAATGCTGCAGAGGGGCTGGGCTACAATGACTCCGCGCTAAAAGACTTATTCAATTATGCCCTTGATGAGCCCATTAGTCACTGGAGCATGTTAGGATCCGCTCATGTATCCTTTGAGGGGTTTGTGGAGTTCTTGGCACGTTTCCCCCGAGGCGGCGGCGTCCGCTCACGTTTCCCCCGAGGCGGCGGCGTCCGCTCACGTTACCCCCGAGGCGGCGGCGTCCGCTCACATTAGACGAAGCTGCAGTGCTACCCTCTCAGAAACGGAGGAGGAGGAGGAAGAAGGCTTCTTCCGTCCTTCAAGGCCGGGAGGCCTTCCTAGAGCCTGGTGCCCTGCCGGCGCTGCCCACGCTCAAGCTCCTTGCCCTGCCGGCTCCGCCCAAGCTCAAGCTCCATGCCCTGCTGGCTCCACCCAAGCTCAAGCTCCATGCTCTGCCGGCTCCGCCCAAGCTCCTTGCCCTGCCGGCTCCGCCCAAGCTCAAGCTCCATGCCAGGCTGCCGGCCCCGCCCTGGCCTCCCGCCCT